AATATTAGTAATAACTTGAAGAGAAAGAATTATAAAACAATGAATAGCGTGCTTTTTTGTGTAAACAAGAAAAAACAATGTCTTGGATAGTGTTAACACACTCAGCGTTCGGTTTTTGCTGATAACACTTTACTCAACCTTGATTATTCCGGATAGCACAAAAACCACATCAAATAATTGTTTATTATACAAGGACTACCTTAAAACAAGATACATATATGACAAAATTATACAAAAAAAAAAACGTCAAAATAAGCAAGAAAATTAGCTAAGCTATACAATTTGTTTATACTACTTGGAAAATGATCATCAATAAGAATAAAAACGCGAAAAAGAGAAAAAAATGAATAATTAAGAATAAAAACGCGAAAAAGAGAAAAAAAAGTACGAGGCAATTATATGTTATTCAATAATCCTTGAATTTTCTAATGTTATGTCATTTTGAATGATTAGTTATGATTACTAAGAAGTAGAACTTACAAGGCAACTATGAATATCTTTCTTCATAAAATATTCTTAATATTATGTTACTTTAAGTGGTTACTAAAAAGAACTACAAAAGTTAAATGTCTCGGGACGATTTATAATCTTATGTTGACGGTTTTTAGTTCAGTGTAGAAGTCCATAGAGTAAAGGCCTCCTGTCCTTCCTGGTCCACTGTGTTTCCATCCCTCTGAAGGCATGCTAGGATTGTTTGGCAGCCAGCTGTTTATCCACACCGAGCTAAGATAATGAAAAAGAAATTAAGTGAAAAAAGGATAAAATAAAATTACAAATGAAAAATAATACAGAAATAAAATAAAATAAAAAGCAAAACAAACATTAAGTTTTGCCAAATATCCGTCTTTCCCCCTGTTTTTTCGAGTTACAGTGATTCGTAAGTTGTGGGTAAATTTTCTCATTCCTTGTATTTCATAACTCTCTCTCAGAAATCAGTCGGTGGGGACCAAACCTAATCACTGTGACAAAAAGACGGTAAGGTTCACTCTTAAAAAGCACAGATGAAACATAGCAATCACCGACTCAAGACTACAGAGCCAATTAAATTGTCACGACAATAGCAATAATAAGGTGAATTCGAATTGTTCTCCTTCGTATTCGTCAAACCTCAAGCCATTGTAAAAACCAGTTATTATTTTCAGACTGAAACTCACCCGGCCGGCCAAACTGGGGCGATCGATATTGCTGCCAAATTTTGGCTTAAACGTAAAGAATCTTTATTCAAGGCTCATTGAAGTCTTGTGCAAGAAGAATTAAAGGTCTCATGCATTCTCAATTCGGAATGGGGACAGACTTGCATGTATGTTAGTGACATTTTCTTTCACATCTGCCTTTCATATAGCTGAGAAAACGGCAGACATTTCTCGAAGTCACCACTGGTTTTTTCCGCAAAATAGCGCCAAAAGAACACTGCAGAGATTCCATTCTGATGACGCATCTCTACCTAAATAAGGAAAGTCCTTCTGATTGGGTAGTGACGCGTCATCAGTATGGGATTTCTGCCTCGTTCCTCAGGCGTCATTTCGCGGGAAAACCATGCATGGTCAATGGTAACGTCGAGGAACGTCGGCTGTCTTGTTAGGCTACCATTCATGGCCTTACCCGAAATTTAGCTGGTCTGCCACGGAGTGAGCTAAACTAACATTTCTGCACCAAATCGAAGCAGATAGTCCGTACGACGTTACATTAACAGCTTCTATGACTTCGCCTGAGGTCCGAAATGGTATCAATCTAACCTTTGAAAGAAAAAAAAGTTTTAATTTACTTTGCTGGCTATGAATGGTTTTGTACTTATTATTATTATTGTTATTATTATTATTATTACTATGTAAAATGTGATTTATATTTGCATAGGGACATAAAAAAGTGCTTCTTGGTAAGACAGAAAAAAACAAAGCGCATACATCTTACCCAAATATGGAGGCCGACTGATAATGTTAAATAGACCTCTTTAGCTTGTATTTTTTATTTTTCCAACGTACGTAGATCATATGATAATACTTTTGAGAACTGTTTCTTACATATTTTGTCTACTCACGTGCAAATTGCCCCGAGACTTTCAGCGGGAAAACAAAAGATACACACCAAAGAGGCCTATTGGCCCTATAGAATAATATTAATTGGCCTCGCTTCAAGGTCGAAGTTCTTTTGTAATTTGCAAACACAGTTGAGGTAAAGAGGGCAAATTAACATAAACATAAAAGAAGAGTAATATTGCCGCCATTTTGGAATAAGCTGTTTGTCAGATGCGAGAGAAGATTTAAAGTATTTAAGGATTTCTTCTCTGTGTTATATTGTTCTGTAACCTTGAACACTCCTTGGAACTACCAAGCAGATAAGTATTTGTATTTGCTTTGTAATTAATCGCTACATAGCTTGTAGCTAAATGTTTGCCTACCTAACAAATCTTCTGTCCTCTCTTGTGTTATAATGAAAATCGCTTGGCGGCGCCTGAGCTTACTTCTCGTTCTGCCTCTTTACTTTGTTGCAATTTTGGCACATTCACCGCTCCCTTCACATTTGTGTTTAGAACACTTTTAACGCCTAAATACAAATTATGAGTTTACAAGGCGCGAGGCGCGAGGCGCGAGGCGCGAAGTACTAGCGTGAGATTCTCGCGCGAACCACGCAAGCCTCACCTTCTCCCCTGTCTCACTCTTCTTATTGCCCCATTCACACCAACTTAGTTTAGGAAAGCGGCATTTGATTCATTTTATATAAGTTCATATTTACCACTGGTCCTGGAACCTCCATAGTGTTAATAGTGTCCGTAAAATTGCTTTGAAAACCTATTAAATATAAAATAGGATAACATAGCATCCCACCATAATCAAAATACTCTTCTTAGAGTGTTTTCTTGCATGGATCAGCCTCAGTAGGCACAAAACCTGCCCAGTGGGGATGGGTACGTTCGGGACTCATAGAACCAATTGGAGGTNTCCATAGTGTTAATAGTGTCCGTAAAATTGCTTTGAAAACCTATTAAATATAAAATAGGATAACATAGCATCCCACCATAATCAAAATACTCTTCTTAGAGTGTTTTCTTGCATGGATCAGCCTCAGTAGGCACAAAACCTGCCCAGTGGGGATGGGTACGTTCGGGACTCATAGAACCAATTGGAGGTGTATCCCTTCCCTATATTACCAATTCCCCCAAACCATGATAGACAGACACTAGCTAGGGGTAGTCACCGAGGGACATTGTCTTTTTTTTTCAATGCTTCATGTGTAAGAGTCACATCTGGGAAGTGACGTGATACGGAACCTACGGTTTTTTTTCTTATCCCAGGAGTCTTTTTTGGCCATGGATACCTCCTCAGTCTCTTATTTTCTCCGTATGTCCCTCGTTTTAAGAGCAATCCTTGTTGATGGCTGCACTCCTTCTATGCATTATGTATTATTATTCACTCATAATTTCAAGCCTTTCCTGTCGTCAAAAGCCCAATAATAAAAAGAGTTATTGAAAAATGACGTCAGTGGCCCGCTGTTTATCTACCCGGGACTTGACTGTTTCGAAGTCTAATACAGGGCCAATTGAGGTAACTAATAGCTGGTTATTGGGACACATCAATTTATAATTCGAGGTAGATATTAAAAAAATAACGGGGTTTCATAGCTGAGTACCCTTATTTTAGCTGTGTTTTCGAATGTTGATGTCATTTACACCCCAGACCTCAAAAACCTTTTTCAAGATTCTCGACTCAAAGCAATCATATTTCGCTCGAGACCATAATTAAAACCTAACACTTAAACTAACCTCCAAGTACGGTGGGCTCTAAGAAATAACCTCTGTTCAACTTGCTGTCTAGTTTTGGAATTTTGGCACCGCACAGGATCTCTGCACCGTCGTTTACAGCTCCTTGGATAAGGTTTATTATCTTTTGCCTGTGCTCCCTACTTATTAAAGGTCCAACCTACAAAAAAATAAGTCAAAAAACAGATCAGCAGTCAAGGAGTATTGTAATGGAGCTTGACTCTGACCAGTGGTGGAATTGCATAAATTTTCTATATTGCTGGCATTGCACAGAAGAAACACATTTTTCATAGTCTGTATGTCTGTCCCTTTGAAAATTTATGAGTTATCATGATTCATTCATGTAAGCCCTACATACATACCCTTGAAAAACGCCTTTTGCTGATGTTAAAGTATTAAGGAAGTGGACACAGAAGAGGTTCAGTACTCACTTCAGTGGCGGATCTAGTGGAGAGGCCCGAGAGGCCCGGGCCTCTCCTTATTTTTAGACCAAACTGAGGCCCCAAGGGCCGAAAAAAGGTTTTTTGAGACCGGGCATCTCCCTTGTCTCAGGGTCTGGATGACCGGGCCCCCGCCTTATCGGAAGGTCTGGATTCGCCACTGCACTTAAGAATAGAACTAGATTTGATTGGAGCTTATTTAATTTGATTATTGATTGTTATCTTTATCATCATCTTCATCGTCACCGTCATCATCATCATTATTATACCGACGACCTTGTCGTAAGATGACACAAATACAGTAATATAAGGTTAAAGAATAGCAGACCAGGTGAGACTTAATAGTCAACCCACTTTAATTTTTCCCTCCATTTAGTAACATAAAATCAAGATACTAAAATGAAAACTCTTGAAAGTATCGTATTTGGCTATACTTAAAGCAACGCCTCGCCCCTTATAATATAACGGCCGTGATGAGATTTAAAAAGTATGTTCTTACCTGTATGCTGCTTTCAGAAGGATTTCCAATTTTCAATCTCTGCACGACTCTGATAAATTTATCAGTAAACGTTTGTAGAATGGATGTTTGAACAAAAATTCGATTGACAGAATGGACATGTTGACCCTCGTTATGAAGGAAACTGTGTGAAGACAAAACAAAAGAAAACAAATGCAATATTTTCAATGAGTTTCCTGATCCACCATCGTAGTGATCTTTACTCGTATGTATAAACAGTATTAGCTACGAATACCGCACTCTACAGGTAACCTTTTTGATGAGTTTTCTTTGTTAAGTACTGACTAAGTACTTAAAACTGTTAAAGAGAGTATAGATTTTTAGTGGGTTCCTTTCAAGCATTTTCAGTTTCTGTAAATCCCCGAGTCAAATTTTGCAACAAAGTGCATACCACTGTTGAAGTTTTCTGACAACTCAGTTCATATTTCATGAGTGCGATTAGGAAAAAAATTGGTAGAACTGGGTTAAACGAAGGTCAGGTTTTATCCTTAAGAACAAAAAGTCAAACGATTGACAAAAAAGCATTTCCGTTTTGCTGAGCCATTTTAATTTAGGGAACAACTTAGCTAACAATGATGGAGCACTTACCTGAAAAAGTGACATACATCGCATAGTTTATAAACTGTGCATCAAAATAACAAGTTGTCTTTATATTAATGTTCACTGTCTAATTGTCTCAAGTCTAATACAGTACATAAAGCGTCCAATCTTAAATTTACCTTCCCCTAATTGCAGCTGGAAGGACTTCGTCTAGATCTGCGTCGTCAAAGATAATCATTGCATGACAGTTTTCCAAGTTAAACGAAATCTTCTTTGTAAAAAGCAGATGGTCACTTCTATCTCTTAAGACTTTACAAGCAGTCCTTTCACTTCCTACCTGATAAGCAAAACACAAGAAATGTACGTTGTTTAGCATGGTCTATTTTAGGGTTCCGAATAAAGCAACACCCAGATTGGCATACTTAAGGGATTAAGTTCTAATTTTCTGACGACCAAAGCCGTTGCTTTCAAACGGGAGTGAACCACTTCCCTCCCCCTCGGGATTGATAAGGTAAGGTTTCCACCTTTTACTGCTGTTTTAGTAAATAAGGAACATCAAACCATGTGCGTTTGATGAAAAACCTCTTGCAGTCAAGCCTGTGGTGTAAGTTCTTGGGCTATAAGTTGGAACTTACCAAACGTTTATTGTTGGGAGGTCTGTGGCTTCGATTCTCATTGCTAATTAATGATCAAAATGTGACGACCTTGAGGACGTACAGTCAGTCACTTACAGTCATCTTCCTGATTTCAAAGGAAACTATTATCTATAGCTGTGTTCCTTTGTGTCAGTCATTCCGAGTGTTTAGGTTAGTTATATTTGCAAATGACGTACTTACAAAGACCAATGCCTTCATACTGGGATGTTGAGTTATGGTTTTCCCAATAGCGTCTCCTTTACCATACACCACATTCACTATACCTTTCGGTACTCCTTGTTTACAAAAGATTTAAAAGACTAATTAGCTTAAGAATTAAGTCAGGTCCTTATTTAAGGCTTTAACAGGCAGCAACATCAGAAATCCTTGGGGTTCACTCCCCAGGTTGCGTATGGATACATCAAAAAGAATTCCAGTAGCTCTCGAGCCTACGTAGCTGGCGGGATTGTTATGCCCGGGGTACTTTCTTGGAAGCGGAGACAATCTTTTCGCGGCTCCGCTAGCAAATAAATAAATGTATAAATAAATAAATCGAACTACAACACTTGCAGTCTTAACCCAAAAGCTACTGAACACAGGCAACTAGTTCTCTTTGATTTTATTTCTTTAAATTTCACTTGTGGGCACGACATCTTTGAAAGAGAAATTTTAAGAGTGTTTCAGCGCCCTTCCCCCTTATTTTGACCAGGTGTATTTCACTTTACCACTAGCGCCGCCAGGGATGCGAGGGCCTTTTTTTTTGGGGGGGGGGGGGGGGGGGGATGTTATAAATTGTCGTGGGTGATATATAACTTAGAAAGAGAAATTTTTGTTCGGTTGTTGTCTCTCGTCCTGCTGGTGTGGTGGGGGGTTTTTGTCTGTGACGCGGGGGGGGGGGTGGGTGGGGGGGGGTTTTTTGTTGGGGGGGGGGGGGGGGGAGGTAGGGGGATTGCTCTAATGGTTTTCCTGTTCCAATCAGGTGTTGATATGGGGATCGGCGATACTAATTCTAGGTGTTTGGTTGTCCTGGTGGTAATTTTTTTCCTGTTTTATACGAATTTTTTTTGGAACGAGACCGGGACTGGCAATCATGTGTTTAGTTAATTACCTGCATCACTAAATGTTTTTGCCAGTAAATGAATTTCAATTGGTGCCAGACATGACGGCTTGATGATAACGCAGTTACCACAGGCCAGCGCTGGAATGGCGTGCCACAACACCGAGTGTAGAGGTGACGCCCAAGAAGTGATAATTCCGATCACCCCCAAAGGATAACGGCACGAATAACTGACAGAATCTATCAAGAAAGAAAATAGATCACTTTAGAACAATAACCGGCCTACAGTATATTCTGTTTGTGAATCCCATGTAGACTCGAAATAAGCTATTTTGACAGCGACTGTTATGCCGATGTCGGTAAAGACTCTTCCTTCAGAAACAAAATAGTTGATCAAGGAAACGAATTCTTTCCCAAGCCAATTCCCATTTTCGTTCTGGGAGATTTCAGGCGACTCTTTCAATGTTAGCAAACACCAATTTTTCACCACGCAAAATCCTCTTAAACTGGCATTGTATGCAATCGTGAGAGAACTCCCCTCATGCCGATGCCAATGTGGCTCGGGTTGGAAATCCCAGCGTCGACGCCATATGTGGGTTGAGTTTGTTGTTGGTTCTCTCTCTTTTCTTCAAGCATTTTGCCTTATAAATGTGAAAATTCCGCTCTTTTATTTCTCAAAATTTCAATTGTGAGAGGAAGTTTCATTCCTGATAACTGGACCGGATAAAACCCAATTCATTACCATTTGTTTTCGTCGCTGATTCTGTCATGGCTATCGCTAAAGCAGTAAAGTGTTTGATATTGTGGACCTCTCTGTGAACATCATTGTACTCTTTGCTGGCGCCTTGGATAGCTCGTCCCTGGTCCATAATCTCCGCGCGAACAAACGCTTCAGACCTTTTCTCCAACAGTTCAGCCACTTGGTTCAATACGTTGGCTCTCTTGATCTTATGATGTAAAAAAAGCATGCATGAGACAAAAACAAATAACAAACAATAAAAGAAGTAGAACATTGATCTAATATTGAGGTCGTAATTAAAAAACCAGTGTTTAAATTTTAAAATTCGGAAGATAAATGTGCTCTTTAAAACCTTGGCAGTTGTGATATATGGTGAATTATAATGGAAATTTTTAGTAAGCATACAATGAACTTATCAGATTGCGAACCATATGTGAAGTGGCAATTTTTGGCAACAAATAGTTTTAACTTAGAAAATGTCAGTACTTTTTCCATTCCTGGCAATGCCATTGGCTTAAGGCCATGTCACGTGGACGCGCAGTATCAATCAGACGTTTGTCACGAGTGATGTAATTGTCTTTTACTTTACACCTTTCCCTCTGATTGGCCGGGCGGAAAAGGCTCGAATTTTAAATTGTTCTAGAGGCCTTGACATTTGTGGGAAATTTTAGCTTTGAATCACCAAGTCGAGTTCAAATAGAGTGTTTTCACATGACGTCACGGCGGCCATATTGGTGTCCCGAACAGTGAAACGGCGGCCTTGTGGGCGTCCCGAACTAATCCTGTGGGAGTTGAACTCTTTTCTTATGCAAACGCTTTCTTTTGTTCCAATAAATTTGCATTGATGCTGGCTACGTGAGTGAAAACGCCCTATTAGAGGTTCTATAAAGTGTCAGATGCAAACAATTTATATCAGGTGACAGTACCGTAGACATTTTAGACCATTGCTTTTGCGCAGATTTCGCAGCTTCCACCGCTTTTTGTACATCCAAAATGGTCGATAGAGGATACTTGCATAGGGCTTCTCCAGTACTTGGATTTAATGTCTCAGCAAATGCTCCTCCAAGAGGGGGAATAAACTCGCCATTGATGAAGTTGTAGATCTGCTCAGAAATCTCACCACGCCTGTTGAAATAAAGACGGAATTTAATCAAACATGGGTTGTGAGGTTATTCGTTTGTATTTTCTTTTGTATTTTATTATTTCATCCATTTATTTATATTACCGGATTCGAAGATATCATTATCACAAGATAACATTATCAATAGTAAAACTAATTTCAAGCCCAATGAGTAAATAACAGTTTTATTTAGGATAAAAGAGAAAAAAAAGACAAGTATTTGAAGTTTGAAATGTAAAAGAGAGAAATTAAAAAGGAAAGTACACAAAAATATCTAAGAACACACGAGGGTCGGTATGGCAGTTATTAGTACTGAGCAAGATAATAGTAATATAGTGTTCTTTTAAACAATTTTTTAGTTGTCTTTTTACCTAAAGATAAAGAAATATCATTCCAATAATAACATCCTATAACTGTTGGACAGAATTTTCTTATATTTATTCTAAAGCTACTGCATTTAGATGCTACAAAGTTGCACCTCTGGTGTCACAATTATGTTGCTCAGACACGAAGGCCAGCGTGAAATTGGACGGCTTTTTATCTACAATGTGATCATAAAACAATTGGCAGGTATTTAACTTAGGTTAGTCATTTAAAATGGCGGCCATCATGGCCGATATTTTGGTGGTTACTGAAAATTTAATTCTGTCTATTTTCTTTGCGCTTTCCCCTAATCTCGCACCTTAACAGAGTGAGATCTGGGTACGAGTTTATTTTTCCGCTTTATCCGAATCCTTGGAACAGGCTCAATGGTAAACTGATGATACTCATTCCCCTGTTCACCGTTTTTCACAACAGGGGTCCTTCAACGTATACCCCTTGCGGGCGCTCCTTATTCACCTGATCGTTTAATCTAAGATATCAAGCAGATACGGCTAAAAACAAAATGGATCGATGTCCTCGATCAGAAAAAAATTCGCTTCCTTATCAGTCGTTATCCCACCCATTAAGACGGTATTGTATTTTTTCAACATTTCCATGGAGACAAAACAAAGCGGAAACAATCAACCTCAAAAATTGTAAATAAGGATGCTTAAGTTACTCCTCTTTTTTGAGCTTAAGGAGTCGCGGGATCGTCCTTTTAATTTTGATTGGTTACCATCGGTAATTTCAACGTCGGTTTCAAAAGCGTTAGATTTTAACATAACCATGAATAGGTGAATTATTGATGAATTTTGAAACATTATTATTAACATAAAGATAAAAAAGAGATGGGCAAGGAGCATTGCTTGGAATTACGATGAATTATTCTTTCGAAGCCAGCAAGAAGTCTTACCGTAAACAGTCTTACTGAATGTTTGTTTTTCTTGTTGTAATAACTTGTTTTAGGTCTAGGGAAATCTTTTATACGGATCGGTATAAAAATTTAATGACCGCATAAAACTAGTCCGTCAACTGAACGCTAAAAAGCGATAATTTTGATTTCAAGCCGTTTTCATCCAACTGAGCCGATCAGAAACAGAGCAGAAAAAATGACATGTAACTTCGTGTCTAAGCGACTGCGTGCGGTTCGTTCCTAAGTTCGACTTGCCCTGAAGGAGCACGTCATCAGTTTGACAGAAATAAATGAATGCTGTAAGGAACGCGAGTATGTTATAGCTTGTCAAGCAATAATAATTGATAGCAAAGAAAATACACGCATGGAAAATACACGATCTTGTTTTGATAACATGCATTAATTTTGACCTTCTTCGATCGAAACTCGTGCAAACTTCTGACAGGAAACGTGACGATCATTCATTGAAAAAAAAATCAAAGATATATAGTATCTTCTAGGCAATCAATTGAACATTTTTATCTATTCCATAGAGCACTAGAGCTCAGCGCTACGTAGACGTTCTTTTCTAGTGAATAACTGAGGTCAAATTGGTATCATGAATCAGTATGTTCGTTCATGCCTACAAAAGAGCACAAAATTTGACATCAAACAATACCTCTGAAATCGGGACACTTTCATAGTAGCAAACCGTCCGAACTGTAGCTAGCACTACTTGGCCGTTCGTGCTGGTAAATAAGTTGAACTTCCTTCTACAACCGGAAATGTACTCATTCATGTAAACTGAAAAGTTGAGGAAAAGCACGCTAACGAGTTTCTAAATCAACATACATTCCGGTCAGCATCTGGAGATATTTATAAACGTCAGTTTACTGACCCATTTAGCTTAAGCCACGGTAAGCTTATCTTTTAGATAAAAACAGGTGCGTTATTTAATTGAGAGGGGGAAATTCTCCTTCTTCATATCTCCTACCTCAAAAGATGGCTAAGAAAATCCATAAAGCGTCTGGGATGTCTGTTTTCGTAGTTGAGCAGGTTTTCTCATAAGGAGAAATATACGACTGAACGATGTGAGGATATGATCCGGTTTGTAGAATTGCTCACTAGGGTTCGATTAACCAACTGTGCATAAATTAGCACGATCAAACGTAGGGATTGTTTACAGTATGTTCGATTTTAATACGGGTTGTCAAATTATCATAATCTACGTAAGATAGCAAGCAAGGACCATCATTGACTGATCATGTTCCCGTCTATCTGCTCACTATTTAACATCAATTATCTTTTCTTGTCCTAAATTCTGGAAAAGAATAATTTTTATGTTTCAACCCTTTAAATTTGTACAGTGGTTTTAACCTACGACCATCCAGCTCTTCCTATGAATAAAATAATTGCTTCTCATCAAAGACGATGCGATGCGGTTTTAAAAAATTTCTCATCTACAATTCTGGCGATTTAGCTTCTAGAATTGACCTATTTAATGGTTTGCAGCTGATGTCACGGAGGCGATGCTGGTGGTCAAAAACAAAAGCGTTTCCCTTCACGGGGAAATAATCTCTATTTACATGCAAATTTTGTGAAACAAAATGTTAATAAAAAAGTATTAATTGAAAACCAATTATTCCACAAACTCTACCAATAAATTACAAAATTCTCATCTTGGGACTTTCCTGCTAGCAGAGTCTATTTTTCCGTCAATTATGAAATAAGGGAAAAGTACAGTGTCGCCCCAGTAATAAAAGGAAAAGTAAAAAAATGGGAAACTTTGGACAGTCGCTTGCTCCTAGACCACGTCATAAAAATAATATTATTTATTATTCCAACTTTTAAGTCTGTGGATAGAATCCTATGGTGTTACCATTTAAGTAAAACCTTTTTGGCCGAACTTTTGCATAGTGACGTCTATTTCTAAGAATTTTTTTTTTTTAAATAACTTTTTATGTTTTTCTTTGGCAATTATTAAGAATGAAAGAATTAACCCATTCGCCTATGGGAAAGTTGGTGAAAAACGCCTTCTGAAGCTAGTCAAGCCGTTTTCTGGTCACTGGTGCCGGGCGATATAGAGTCAAGTTTCTTTAAGTTTATTTCAAGTTTATTATTTAATGATTGGCTTCGTGAAAATGCCATTGTCAATTGGCTAGTCAAGAGTTTGGAGGTACAGGAGGGTAAATCTCCCTCCTCACAAAACTTGGTTTAAAAATTGGCGGCGGGCAACGACTCCTGCACTTAGTCCTATAATGACCTTCAGAGCTTCGCCTCTACACCAACATACCACGCGAAGGGCGCCTAACCGCCGTATGTATGCATACGAAGATTTTTTTGAACCGGGGGGTACTCCCTTATGTAAGCCATGTAGGTATGTGCCGTTTCGGTCTGAAAACGGGTATAGATTTTACCCATTTTGGTCTGGAATTGGTGATGGTTTTCGAGGAAACTACAGAAGTGTATAAATGTATTTGTCATTTCAGTTCCAAATGAATCAGAAAGAAAGAGTAATAAGCAAATTCGAATTGGATTTTAAGAAATCTTGTTTGAGCTCTGGCCTAAATTCTACCTATACCAGATCTAAAAACGGTTATGGATTTAAGAGGCCGGAGGCCGGGTCTTAAAACGCCAGGTATGGAAGTAGGGTCTGAAATAGGGTTAGGATTTGGAGAACCGGGCGGCACACACGCCCACCAAACATTCCCGGGAATATTTTCCCCGTACCTACCAAATATCTAATAGAAATACGCTATCTTATATTAAAAGAAAACTGGTTCCAATTTTTCGGTAGCAACTAGGCTACAGGCCCATAGAACAGCCATGGGAACAAAGATGGCTGCTGCTTTTGCTAACATCTTCATGGCCAGAATAGAAAACCCAATGTAGGGACAGCGCTGTATTGAACCGTACCGCGGTCACCAGAGGATTTTTATCGCGTGCAGCGGGATGCTTCGGCTGCAGGCCGACAGATCTTTGGCCGAAGGCAGAAGTCACTTGAGGCGAAGCCGCGAGAAAAAACGCTTTTCGCGTGGGTCACCATAAAGACTTTGCCGAACCGAACACCGCCCATAAAAAGTCTCTGGGCACCTAGTAGGGATATTGAACTGCTGTTTTGGAAAAGATAGTATATTGACGATGAGTGTTCCTTATGGAACACAAGTCTAGACAAAATAGAGAGCTAAAAATAATTGTGGAAAAGGCAAATAACTTTCACTCTACTATCAAATTCACGGCTGAGATGTCAGAAATAGAGATCACTTTCTTGAACACAAAAGTGAACAAAGGGGTTAGATTCAACAAGGAACCAATCCTAGACGTGCAAAGACATCATAAACCAACCAGGAGCCCATGAGCCAACAAAAGCCTTTCACGTACTCGCGTCAACAACCAGACGTGAAGAAATGCTTCATTAAAGGAGAAGCGCTCGGGCGTCTAAGGACTGATTCCTCTCAAACCACTTTTGAGAAAACATCAAAAATTTAGAAAACCGCATGATAGAAAGAGACTACCCTGTCCCTATTGTGAGAAAGTACCTCTCTCAGTTAAAATTCGCCGACAGGAAAACATCCCTTCAACAGAGCAACAAATCCGCACGTAAAAAACTACAACCTTCTGTTACAAAAGGTTGTAGTAGGTGCACATTGCTGGCTGAGAACTCTTCCATTAGTCTTGCTGGGAGAGAGGAACAGATACATTTTTCCCAACAATCTACAAAAATGCTTTGAAGTTGTTTTTAGTTTTTTTTTTCTCAAAATGTCCCGTTGGGTGTCCCTGTATTGTATCGTAGGGTTAGATGAAAAGAACTGCAGGTAGGCAATGGAACAGGATTTCAATTGGAATTTTCGGGTCCACTTGTTATGGTTTTCCAGGTTTTTCTTCGGTTTCCTTGACTCACTCTGGCAAATCTCTTTTCCCCTGCACAAGTGAGATGACAAAGTTGACCTTGACCGTTAAAACTGATTACGTCATGAGCGGTACAAGGGACGTGAAATAGGTGAAACGATAGAAAAAAATGAATAAAATATATAGCAGTGGACATAAAGAAATTACTTTATTTTTAATGACATCAAATCCACCATGATCCTATCTTATTTACAAATGAAGGCAAAAATTAATCACTTTATTAAAAGGAAAAGTTAGGGTTTCTCAGTGTAACAAGTAAACTGTTTCCAGGGAAGAAAAACGTCACACAACCACAGTCATTCTTGCACCTGTAGTCTCACAGTAATAAAGTGAAATGTGGCACATGAAAGGCCATTGATTTCTCTCACAGAAGACTTTTTATTGACTTGAAAAATGTTGGCTTGTTCCCACAAAAAGGCAGTTTCATTCCTGTGTGGAGTTAAATGCATAGAGTGAGATCATGTATAAACTTTACAATGTAATTTAGTAGTTATTGAATTGGGTGGACTGCAATAGAGCTATTCAATATCCCTGATGGATTTAAAACGTCAAAATCTACATTTTCCTGTGTTGTCCTATGCTACATGTATATCCTAGGAAAAAGTGGCTAAAGTTGTTGAAGTAACAAGAGAAGCATCTTGGGTGATCAAGTGTTAAATTCTCATGACACAGTTGATTGACTGAACATCGATATTACAATGGGCAATTGCATGCTAATCTTTCTTAGGGATTAGGCCTTACAGAACTCAAAAGAGAGAAGAGTCAATAAATAAGTACCTTCAAGCCGGAAATGTTAGTAGTTAAGTATCTCTTAACGTGGAAGAAGAAGCCCAAAAATGTTTTATAATTGTATAAGAGTCAGAGCTGTCATTAAGGGCTGTAGCCCCATAACACCTATTACAGCTGAGCTCACTCGTTGTGACTGGCGATCAAAGTGGAAAGCTTAAGGTGACACTAAATTTCTTTTTCAATTCAATTTTATTATTCACACTTTATAAAATATTTACATTATATATAGTAAGGTAGGAATACTAATAAAGGAGAAGAAGAGGAAGAAAAAAAAAATAATGGCTTGGGTAGAAGGGTATGGTGGTCAGAGGAGCTTAGCTTTCGAGTTAACCACTGAGATGTTATGGGTGAATCTTCATTTGTTGTGGCTGCTCCAAAACTTGAAGAAAGGCCTAAGTGTCTGAACATCTGTCTTTACGTAAGCATAATTTGTGACAATTCAAGATGGTAGACTTGCCTAGTGACAGCACATGATTTTAGACAACAAAAACTGCGCTATCTTTGATTTACAAGGGATCCCACCATTAATGTAATGTGGATTTTATTTGGGCTGCTGTCTATTTCCAACTTATATTGACTGGAAAACTGTACCATGTGAAAGTACTGCCACAGAGAATTCATTTGAATAGAACCACAACGCAGGATTTCCTTCACCCACTCAAACACAGGTACCCAAGGTCACGAGTGAGAATGGTGTTGCATAACAGAAATATTATAAGGGTTGTATGGGAAATTTATTGATCGTTATTCAATGCATGAAAATAGAAATAAAAACACATCAAAATATTCTTGCCTTGTCACTTTGTCTTGTTTGTGGTATGTTCTTAGAATTTCTGGCCATTTCAGCGGGATTTTTACAATAATTATAGTTCTACCCTCACTCTCTCTCTCTATAACTCTAATAATTTTATAACCAAATGAAAAAATATATTGCTTGCTAGAATCACACTGAGACAGCCAGAAATGCTAAGAAAATACATGTATCACTAGTGATATGTGTTTCGCGGGTAGGGGAACACATATCACCAGTGATCGTAGCATCAGTATGTTTCCCTACCCAGGAAACACATGTAACTAGGGATATGTCTTCGGTGGAACACATATCATGGGAGACCACATAGTTATGACAGTGATATCACATATATGTGTTG